GGGGGGTGGGGGGTGGAATTTCATAGAGAATGTACACAAGGCAAAAAGCTTCACGGACTATGCAACGTCTGGCCAGGTGCACAGAATAATTTTTTTAAAAGTTTGATCCAGAGGCCTAATAGAGTTGTCTGCTGGAGTGAGGCAAAATAAGCCTTGCCAGGATGTGGAAGTGTTGTCCATGGTGTTTCCCTTGGCCCTCTGAGTCCCCGGCAGAGCTGGGCACAGCTCTGTCTCAGACTCTTTGCCTGGAACGCTGTGGTCCTTAGAAAACATGCAGAGGATTAGGATGGGAGACAAGGAGAACATGGTTGCCCTCTGTGACTCATTCCTCTACCACTCTGTGCCTGGCTTTCCTCCCTGTGTGCTGAAAGAACCTTGAGATCTCTAACTAGAAAGCATGGCTGAAGCCCTTTTTTTGTGATCAAGTTTTCATTTGATCCCACTGGCCTTAGAGTAGGAGACCTCTTTGAAAATAGGGGAAGCATATGTTGTAAGGAGGAGAGGAGCAGGTAACTGTATGCCAGCTCTTCAGCTTTTCCATCAGTCATCTTCCCTCATGTTTTTCAAATTTACCGCCAAAACTCCTGATGCCATCAGGCAAAGGAGTCGGGTATTTTCAGTGGATATTTTCTGGAGGGAGGGGAGCAATTCTGATTCCTTCTTTCTGAATTGTATGTTCCATCTGTAATGAGTAACAGGTTGGGGCAAGCCTGGCTTGCACGAAGAGGAAACTTCTCTTTAAGGTGGAAGAAATTATTGGCTGGAATTTTATCTCTGGCTCAAATTAAAACACAGTTTTAATTAAAACACACAACCTAGAGAAATTATGCAGAAAGAACTGCATGCAGTGGTGGAGGTACAGCATAGCGAGTGGCTCCCCCTCTGAGCTGCCAAAGCAATACTGTCTTCTGCTGAGTTCTTGAGATCTGATTGAAGCTGCTGGCTCCCAAGAAGTTATGGCTCATTTTTGACTCTCTGACTGTCCTGGTAAATGGTCAAATGCCAGTTGTGGAGAAATCCAGGGAAGTTTCTGTTTGTGGAGGTGTAGAGAACCTACCCCACTTCAGGATGTGCTTGGGGCTCAGCCCTGACACATGTAGATCTCCAGCTGGAGTCAGAAGGAATCCAGGAGCCTGGTAGTCTCCTAGCTGTGGCTGTCCTTACAGCCTCTTCTCTTTGTGTGCTCTTTTACCAAGGGAGATTGCTGGGGTGATGAAGTAGGCGTATCGTTAGATTGGAGAGGGTTGGCAGTTCAGTTTGGGACAGGCTGACCATATGACATCCCTTGGGAGTAGTGTCCTACTTTCAGTATCACCAGGAATCCCTATTGTTAGCCTGTAAGTGGAGCCAAGGGATACCCTCCTCTCCTGTTTCTGTACAGTAGTCCCTCAGGCGATGCTGGTTGGGGCAGATTCATTGCTGGGGTCTTCCTTGTAGAGCTCCCTGCTGTAGATTATTCCCCACCCACAATGAATGGGGCTGTGGTCTTCCCTGTACAGCTCACTGCTCTGGAATTAAGGCAAAAAAAAAAATAATGCCAAAGCAGCGGGGGAAAGAGAGTGCCAATAAAGATAAATGATTTCCTAATTAAGCCTGGAGCCAAGGAGGGGCAAAAAGAACTTGTTGAAGCCTTGTGGGAGCCAGGGTGAATCCAAGCAGGCTATACCACCACTCTGGCAGGGGTCTTCAGGCTGACATTTTTAAACAAAGGAAAAAGCTCATTTGACAATGGATCTTGCAAGAGCAATTCCAGATGCCTTGAAGCTTAAGACTTTTCTCAAGCACCGGTGTTGTTATAATCACCAGGGGAGCTTCTGCCTTGCTAACTCTCACGATGTCATTATAAGTCTCCGATATTTGGGATTTGGTTTTAGCTGCTGAAGGCACTTTATTGGAGGGGGGTGTGAAGGAGGGCATCTCCTTTGTTTGTCTGTTTGTTGTTTTAAAGGAGATGATGGACATCATCTTGGCCAATGCACCTGGGACTGAACCAGGGAATTTGAGAACTGAAAGGAGAAGCAGTTGTGTCTTGAGCTAGAACAGTCCACAAACTTCACAAGTTGGGGCTCCTAAGAGGTTCAGAAAATGGGCATTTAATCAAATTTGACTGAGTTACAGTGGCTATCAAGTTACAGTCAGATGCTGGTCTGCTTCAACTA